ACTCACCTACCCCCCAAACTGCAACCATAGATTCAGGATTAGCATTTGTCCCTTCCCAGAGTGATGTTCCTGGCCAGCTACAGGCGAATAAACCTTCTGGCACATTTCTGGGAGTGTTTGGGCCAAAGTATGTGACTTTTCTCATTCTCTCAGGATCTCAGAGAGTTCTTATATTAAATTATTCAAATGGCCCAGAGAATAAGAGGGGAGTTGATGGTGCATGATGGAAGAGAGGGATCAGAGGTTGGAAGGGAGCAGAGAGAATTAAGTATTTTTAGTACCTTCTAAGACTTTAACAATCAGTGTCCAAAGGAGAAAGAGCAGAGCTAACAATTCCTACCAAGGGTGCAGGTTGTGGGAATTCAGACATTTCTTCCACAGGATTGCTAATATTATTTGATAGCAAAATTTAGTCCTTTTTTGTAGACTTTTTATAGAAGGAAGCTTTTATTTCTACAGGACTTCATTAATTAAGGAAGACACACCCTATTTTGAATTGGATTTCCTGCTAGTTCTGATCGGAGGCATTCTTCCCGGACCAGGGTGAATTCGGTCCCAGTGTTTGCTTGTAAAACTGAATCCAGTCATTGTATTTGCAGCTTGGCTTCCTGCCTGGTATTAAAGTACAGAGCAAACTTCAGCTAGTTATTCCCTGTGATTCTATGTCCTCCATAAAGAGCAGGGAAAGGAGAGGGGAAAACCCAGAGGGTGACTGGGTTCATTTACTTACCACTCCAGAGGGCAGCTGTGTGCTGCCTTCTCATCACATGATTCTTTGGAGAATCCTGATATCCCAGTTACCGGAATAGGAGACAGCCTTTAAAAAAAAAAAAGCCAACATAAATAAATAAATAAGACTGGTTCTCTCTTTATGGTTCGAGCATTAACATTAGCTGCTGAGTAAACCCACTTTGCTACCAAGTACAAGTTAAAAACAGATTTTATGTTTCTCCCTCTTTTCAAAGTTTTGTGTGTAAAGAAAGAACTTCTATAAGGAGCAATCACAAGGCAGGAATGTGGCACTGGTGGCTGGTCCAACCTGACTGTGCCCACTGATTCGTCCTGGACGGAGCCCCAGGTGCTGCAGGCTGCCTTCTGGATTTGTGGGTAAGATCTGCCCTTCTCCCTGGAGTAACAGAAAATATGACTCATGTGCTCATTGTAACTCCAGGCACCCCCGTGATGATACCTAACGAAACTCAGCAGATTGTGGATCAGAAAGGATCGTTTCTTCATTAAATGTGAGGGGATCTAGATGAATATAATGGCACCAGCCTGAGTACCCTTAGGAGAATGGATTTATTGTGATTCCCCAAAATTAAACTTAGCGCCCCAATTTTATTATTTAATTCTAATCTGGCCCATTGGATTAGAGCCAAGTTACCTTTACTTAAGACTTAGTTTTATATCAGTGGAAGAAATTTGAATGTTTAATTGAATTAATTTCAATAAACTTGAGTTTAACAACTAGAGGCCCAATGCATGAAATTTGTGCAGGAGTAGGCCTTCCTTCCCCCAGCTGCCGGCACCAGCTTCCCTCTGGCACCTGGGACCCGGGCTTCTCTTGCAGCTCTGGCTTCGCCCGGAAGGTTGTCTGGTCTAATTAGCATAATACGCTTTTATTATTATAGATGAACAAGGAGTCTGCTACCTTACTACTACTTTGCTAGGTGCTAAAAGAAAAATATGAACATTTAAGACACAGATTATGGGGAAATTATATCCTTCCTTTAGATACAAACCTTAAAAACCAGCAAATTGTCATATAGCAACAGAACACGAACAAAATAAAATTAGGTACCTGCTTGCATGTTTTATGGAGATGGTACCTTCAGCTGCCTAATGTTCAGAGGAACCAAATGTGCAGAATGAAGAAATGGTTGACAAGATTCCCAAAGCTGACCATAGGGTGCAGCAGGGATGGTTGCAACTGAACATCCAGGGATGGACATGGCAGTGCTTAAAGGGGCCAGAATGAAGCAATCACAAGTTCTGACTTCCAGTTTCTGGACTGACATTATAAGGAACTTGGAAGTCATCACTCCTGTTTTCACAACAAGAAAAAAAGCAGAACAAACAAAATCAGCAAATCTTTTCGATCCAACTGAATTTTGAGATCACCACTCTTCTGCCCCCAAAATTGGAGAGCCAGACAAGAGGATGCAGAGAGTCACAGCTTCCCAGAGCAGAAGCCAAGGAGCCAGAACATCCACTGTAACCAGAACCAGGGTGGAAAACCTCTCGTGGCTGAAGGCTGAGCGTGGACAAGCCGGGGAGTTAAAAACTGCAAGGGGCTCTAGTCTTGGGAGGTAGGAGGGGCCGTACTTTTGTGACCTATACTTCCAGGAGCCCTGCCAGGTTCTCATGGTGAAGACTGGAGAAAAATGCCCTCGTGATTCTAACTGGGGGAAGGGAAAGTAGCCATTTTGAAATATGCCACAGCATTCTGTTCTTAAGGCCTACTCTCAAGAAAAACTAACCAGACCCTAACTTGAGGTTTTATCAGTGCCCGGCTGACCTGAGGGGAAGGGAATACCCAACTCCACATGGCTCTCGTCTCCCTGTCTCAGGAAGGAGGGGCAGGCAGAGAAGCATTGAGAAGGTGGCAGTCCGGAGGCAAAAGCCTGAAGGCTAATCGTAGGGCTGAAGAACATGTCCCCTCTCACCACTGCCTTACCACCGCACCCGCAGGGCTCCTGAATAGTAGCAGAGGAATACAACCTAGAGAGCCACGTGGCTCAGACTTTAGCTAAGTAGATGTCTCTAGGGACGTGCAAAGAAAACAGGAGAGACAAAAACACAAACACCAGAGAAAATTTTTTGCTCTGACAACTACAGTTACATCAGACAGTAAAGACAGAGTAACTCCTGGCCTGATAAACATAAAACCTCATGCCAAAAGCCTATATACCTTAGTTCCTTTGACCCAGTGTATCACAGCTGGCTCTTAACAAAAAAATTACAAGACATTGTAAAAGCCAAAAGTTATAGTTTGAAGAAAAACAGTGCAGGCATTAGAACCAGACTTAGTTATTGCAGAGATGTTGGAATTAATCAGACTGGGAATTTAAGACAACTATGATTAAAATGCTAGGGATGCTGAAGGAAAAAGTGGAGAACATGCAAAACAGATGGGCTCGTCAAGAGAGTGGACATAGCCAAGTAAAGAATTTAGTGAGCTTGCAAAAATGTCAATACAAACTTCCAAAGAGGAAAAAAGGGAACATAATATCTAAGAACCATGGGACAATTACAAATGGTGTAACATATACATAATGGGAATACCGGAGAAAAAAGAAAGGGAAGAAAGAAATATTTAAAGCAATATAATGATTGAGAATTTTCCAAAATTAATGATAGGCAGTAAACTACAGGTTAGGAAACTCAGAGAACATCAAGCAGAATTAATAAAACAAAATCTATACCTAGGCATATCTTATTCAAATGCAGAAACTCAAAGATAAAGAAAAGCATGTATATCCTACAACTTTACTGTATTAGTTTATTATTTCTAATAGTTGTTTGGTTTTTTTGTGCCATCTTCAGGGTTTTCTATATAAAAAATGATGTTATCTGCAAAAAGTGATGATTCTGCTTCTTTATTCCCAAGTTTAATGCCATTATTTATTGCTCTCACCTGATTACTCTGACTGGGACTTCCAGAACTATGTTGAATAACAGTGGTGAGAGTGGACATCCTTGTCTTCTTTCTGATCTTAGAGAAAAAGCTTTCAGGTTTTCACCACTGGGTATGGTATTAGTTGAGGGTTTGTCATATATGGCCTTTATTATGCTGAGGTATTTTCTGCTATATATACTAACAATGAAATTTCAGAAAAAAAATTACTTTTACAATGCAACAAAAAGAATGAAATACTTAGGAATAAACTTAAAGGATGTGAAGGACCTATATGCTGGAAACTATAAGATTATTAAAAGAGATTTAAAAAGATACAAAGAAATAGAAAGTAACATTTTGTGTTCATGGGTTGGATTAATCATCATAGTTAAAATGACCATGTTATTCAAAGTGATATACAGATTTAGTGCAAAATCCATCAAAATCCCAATGGCAAGTCTTAAAGAAATAGAACACAAAATTATCAGATTGGTATGGAGCCATAAAACACCTCAAATAGCCAAAGCAATCCTGAGAAAAGGGAAGGAAGGTAGAGGTATCACACTCCCTAACTTCAAACTATACTACAAAGTGACAATAATCAAAACAGCATGGTATTGACAAAAAGCAGACACACTGACTGATGGAACAGAATTGAGGCCCGGGAATAAATCCACATGAATGTGGGCAAATATTCTTCAACAAAAGAGCCAAAGCATACAATGGAGAAAAGGAAGCATCTTCGCTAAATGTGCTGAGAAAATTGCAGAACCTTTTTTTAAATTATCCTGAAGCACAGGTTTCAGAAGTTGTATATTTACTCTTAGGAAAAAAATTAGGAAATATGTTAGAAATGAGTCTAGCAATTGCATTTCATTATATACAATAACCACTCCAGAGTAAGAAAAACTTTCTGAAGGAAACTGAGAAAAATTTATTCCACCACGTATGTATTGGTGCCTACCAAATTCTTAGTTTGGTACATACCATACAAGGTAAACAAAAATAGAAGATGGCCTTTTCAGCTTTCGGCTGGCGGAGGCTTAGGTGCAACTTTCTTCCGTTGTCTGGAATCCGGTTCATCTGACACGAGCAGCCTGCACCATGATGCTGAAGTTCGACCCCAGTGAGATCAGAGTCATATACCTGAGGTGCACTGTGGGGAAACCTGCGCCACATCCGCCCCAGCCCCCTGGGCCTGTCTCCCAGAAAAGTTGGTGATGACATCGCCAAAGCAAGGGGTGCGTGGAAGGGCCTGAGGATTATAGTGAAACCGATGATTCAGGACAGACCCAGATTGAGGTAGTGCCTTCTGCCTCTGCCCTGATCATCAAAGCCCGCAAGGACAGAGAGAAGAGAAAAACTCGGCACAGTGGAAATGCCGCTTTTGATGAGGTTGTTAGCTAGAGAGTTCTGGGCTACCCTGTCTGTGGGCTGCCACCCTCATGACATCATAGAAGACATCAGCAATGGTGCAGGGGAATGCCCTCAGTTAAGAACCACACACACAGAACCTAGAGACAGAACCTAGCGAGAGAACATGGCAAAAGATCCTGGACAGAAACTGGCAACAGAACCTAGAGACAGAACCTAGCGAGAGAACCTGGCTGAAGATCCTAGACAGAACCTGGTTTTGGCATTCCTTCTTCGCCGACTCCGTCCACACCTTTGGGGACCCCAGGACCTGCTGGGGTCGGACCCCAGCATTTGTTGGTCTTTTGTATTGTTTTTTTTGGTCTCTGTGTCGTTTGTCTCCGCTCTGATCTCTGCTGTTTCCTTCCTTCTGCTTACAGTGGGCTTTTTTTGTTGCAAAAAAAAAAAAAAATCCCACAAAGGAGTGTTTCCATTAATGTTTCAATTAAAGATCATTTGACAACCAAAAAAAAAGAAAAAAGAAAAAATAGAAGATGTAATTCCAGTCCCTCACATCGCTAACATCTCATTGAAGCAATAGGTGCATTCTACAGAAGGAACTGGGGAGATAGACATTGGCCTATATTGATGTGGTCTAATAACTTTTCATTTGGTCCATCAACAATTTAGTAACCTGATAAGAATTTGGTTTTTTACTTTTGTATTGTTGCAAGTTAGAGGATCATCGGGCTCAGATTTCTTCCTGCAGACACTGCATTTAATGGAGGTGATAATGTTTGGGATTGGTTGTCAGGGCATGTTTGTTCTTGGATTATGTGATGTGGCTTCCCCCAAGAAGGGAGACTGGTTTCCTGTATGTAGCAGTGATTTTCAACCTTTTTCATCTCATGGCACATGTAAACTAATTACTACATTTCTGTGGTACACCAAAAAATATATTGTATTTTTTGCTAATCTGACCCCCTACAAAAAAGTATAATTTTGATTCATTCCCACCAGGTAGCAATTGTTGTGTTGGCTGTTGTCATTTTTTTACTTGACAATCAAAGGGAAAAGAGGTCATAGTCCCTGACTAAATAGTCAGGTATTTATATTTTAAAAATTCCATGGCACGCCTGTTGAAAATTGCTGGTAGATAGCCTTTCTCCCCTCGGTGCACAGGGAGTGAGGCAGTCTTGAGGAATTGGGTATTAAGGCACTTTGTATCTGAGTTTTTACTGCATCTGGTAAAAATCCCATTGGTGTGACAAGAACATGACAGTGTCACAGCAAAACAATCATGGACAGTTCTCATCTATTAAGAATGTTAACTCTGTCTACCTGACAGGGTTTGTCATGAGAGCTGAATAAAATAACAGAAGCAAAATTCTCACCCAAGTAGAGATGGCTCCAGCTTTATGAGTTTTATGTGACCCTACACTAGCGCCCAGTTCCCAAAGCTCCCTGGAGACCCATATTCACTCCTATTACATTGCC